TCACCCAGTGTCCCCTCACTGTCCCCTCACACACACAGCAGTCAAGGGGCATATCTGAGACGAGGGGCTCCCTGCGCCCTTCGCCCCTGTGTGGGAGCCCACGTCCAGCCATCCCTGTAAGGTCCAGGAAACCACTTCTATCCGTGGCGTCACCAGGAGGGCTGAGGAAGAGGAGAACAACGTCATAGTTGGAGGGACGGGAGGCTGCCATACCCCTGCTTCTCCTCAAAGAAGGAGCCTCAACTAGATCTGAGCTGCGTTTGACTACGCCGCCTGCCCTCCCTGGCTCAATTCACCCTCTCAGTCAAGTGGGGAGAGTGACTTTTACACACAGTGCCTCATGGAATGCCAAGAACCTTAATTAATGTTTGTGCCATGCTTTGAGATCTGTGATGAAAGGAAAACATAAAAGTGCATAGTGTTATTACTGAAATAGTCATTTGGGTGGCTTGCCATGGTCAAGCCCTCTGCCTGAATCATGCCACATGCCTCCTCACCGTGGCACCATGATTCAGAGCCAGAAACAAAAAGTGCCCTGTCTGTGAGCCCAAGTGACACGTGCCCAGGCGGGGTAGACGCTGCTTGGAGTAGGTCTCCACACAGCTCCCAGCCCAAGGCTTCAACACAGCCTCCCTTCCCAATAATATCCCACGTGGAGAACTACTTCCCTCCTATGAGCTTGGTACCTCCACGTCCCAAAACTGGGGTCTTTAACTGCATTTTTATAGAACCTGCAAGAATAAGAATGCCCCCTTTTTACATTCTTTCCTTTCTTTCTAATCCTAACATTCAGTCACTCTGTGCCAGGCCCTGTGCTGGAAGCTGTGTACGAGACAGGAATGAATCAGATACATTTCTTGCCCATAAAGACCTGACACTCACTGGGAAGGAAGAATCGATGAAACACGTTGATGAAACACCTACTGTGAACCAGAGAGCCCACATTTATACATTATTTCATCTATACCAAGTTTCTCAGCCTCGCCACTATTGACATTTGGGGATAGAGAAGCTTTTGTTGTGAGTAGCTGTCCTGTGTGCTGTAAGATGCTTAAAGCATCCCTGGTCTCTACCCAACAGACACCAAGAGCTTTCCCTCCCCTGCCAAGTCGTGACAACCAAAAATGTCTCTGCTCTTTGTCAAATGTCCCCTAGAGAATCAAAACACACACATGCACGCGCGCGCGCACACACACACACACACACACACACACACAGAGTCAAGACCACTGGTCTACCAAATAATTCTGTGAGTGGGAGTGATAGCCCTCATTTTCCAGATAAGAAAACTGAGGCCCAGGGCAGTTAACTAATTTCCCCAAGGTCGCACGCTCAGTGACGAAACCAGGCTTCAGCCCCTAGCTTGTGCACTGATTATATGCTGTTTTGCCACCATTGCTGGGTTGTGTGCTCCGATGCACATAACTACTATAAATGAGAGAGAGGCTGTGCAGGTTAAGAATTGTGAGATGACACAGGGAGTGGGGTTAGTGGTAAAACCTTCTTCAGGTTGAAAAATGCAGGTGCCTTTGAAGGGACTGGGCTTGAGTTTCATGTAGAAGTTTTCCTCAAAAGATGAGTGGGCCCTGGAAATGTGGGGGGAGTGAGTTAAGGAAAATCATCACATCACAGCAAGAAGGGGAGAGGGCTCTGGACCAAAGACTGAGCTGGGCTGGAGCCCAGGCGTGTGGCAGGCTTCACCGGGGAGGTCTGGGATACCTCCCCACGGTGTGCAATGTCCCTCTCCTGGCCATAGGGAACCAAGGAAGGCTTTACAGGAGGGGAGAGGCATGGTCAGGCTGCAGGACGTATAGTATGACAGGGTTTCCAGGTCTCACAGAGGACCCTGGGGGGCTCCACAGGGCATACAGTTTTCAAAGCACTCTTATCATCCTCTTTGGTCCTTGTGCTAGGACATGGATTTCAACACTAGCCAGGCCACCCAGGAAGGACCATGTTTCCAGGCTGAGGGCAGCTGTAGGGTTTCAGCTACAGGACCTTTGAGCTTTAGCCCACTGAGACCCCCTCTTTCATTAGGAAGGACATTCTCTCTCACAGAGAAAACAAAATGGCTCCAGTCAGCCCTCAGTAGGTGAAAGTAAAAGCCTGATTCACCACCCGCAGGCCCCAAAAACCTCAGGGCTCACTTTCCAGCCCCCGCCAGGAGAACCAGAAGGGCCAGGGTTGCCTCTGGGCTTCAGAGAACTCTGATCCTTTCCACCTACACACGTTTCTCTAGTCGAGTTAATAAGCATAGAATCTAGAGAAGTGGAGGTCCTGTGAACCAGCCTCCGCAGTGGGGACGAAATCCTTTCATAGCGCCCTCGAGAGATGGGGCCGTGGCCCTGCTCTGCCCACTTTGTGGATGGGCTGGGCAGTATCATAGGGGGAGGTCCCCCCTGGTAGACTGGCAGGATAAAAAAGATGGAGAACCTCCAGGGTTGACAAAAATGCGAGTGTTCTTTATTGATGGGAATATTAATTGTTAGAGCAGTAGCTACCAAAATTCAAAATACGTAAACCCGTTCGCCAGCATCAGCGCCAATAAGCAGACATGGTCCCGAGTGTGGATACAAAGCTGTACATTTGAGAACGCTCAGTATGGCCTTTTGGTAATAACAGATCAGTGTAAATAATGCAAATGTCCATCCATAAGACAATGATTTCATGCTTTGTGAACATCCATACCCAAGTAACCAATTAAAAAAGATTGGATGCATCTTGATTTCCTGAGAAAGAAAATATATCCAATGTACTAAGTGGATTAATATATAGGGTGGGGCAAAAGCAGGTTTACAGTTGTGAGTATGTGAAATGCAGTTTATTCCTGTATTATTATTTATTAATTTTTGTATCATTTTCCATACAAATCACTGTAAACCTACTTTGGGCCCCCCCCCCGGTATATATAATATGATTGTACTTATTGGTTTTACAGGAAAAAGCCATAAATGTATAACTCTTCAGTTATATTTTAACATATGGGAAACATAGTGAAGAAAACAATCTCACTCTTTATCAATCATACTAATATAAAAAGATGGTACAAAACATCAGTTTTCCCATCAAGTGACCCTGCAGTGCCCATGGAGTCAGTGGCAGATGGGCGTCCAGGGCTCCCTCTGCCCGTGTTCCCCCTTCTCTCCTTCCCCAGGTCACTGCTCTGCTCTCACCTGCTGCTCCTCTCGCGGGGGCCCGGCCGCCTCGGGCACAGAGAAGACCACGGGACCACCAAGCTCCCAATAGGCAGCCATGGTCCCATCTCATTCCCACTGCCTGGCTGTTCTCTGAAGGAGGAATTGTAGGTGGTTCCTCAGAACGGTGAGTCTCAAAGACCAGCAGGCATCCCTGCTGTTCAGGTGGACAGGCTCTCATGGCAGAACTGAAGGAGTGCACCGCCAAGATCCCTGCCAAAGACCTACCCCCACACAGATGAAGAGGAACAAAAAAGAGCTGTGCGGCGGGGAGAAAATGTCATCCTGTTGGGAAACTCCCTGTCTGGTTTCAGGGACTGTAACCCTGCCGACAGGCGGGAGGGCCCCAAGGCTGGAAATGATCAGGGAGGCCTTGGAGAAACAGGCCCCTGAGGAGACATAACCTTTCCCCTCTGGTAGAGACATAGCTCCTGCCTCCCTGCTCGGCCCTGTGATGGTCGCTTGTTGATGACGGGTAAGACCCCTGATGGAAGGGGCAACCTAAGCCAGACATCGGCCGGTATGGGTGCAGACAAGGACTTGGGGAACACACTAACGGGCAAAAAAGCCCGTACTCCTTGGCTCGGCTTGGACATGGCCAGAGTCCTCATTCTTTCTGAAAGAAGTCCCCTTGTCTCTTGGCGGCTCCCTCCCTGCACCTGGCTCAGGCTCGAAATAAAACTGGAGATGGTCCTAAACAATATCTGGTGGTTCCCAGGGAAATCAGGCCTAAAAGTAAATTCTTTAAAGTGTGCTTTGTTTTTACCTCAGAAGCAATAGCCAGCTCAGGCTGGGAAGGAAATTTGCATTATTCACAGACCCTAAACCTATACCCTTAGGCACTCTTGTGTTTACTACGCTCTCATGTTTAGTCGTCTCTCTTGTTTACTAGTCTCCTCTCAGACCCATATAAGTCGCTGTGTTCCTGCCATTTGTTTTCTTCAAAATATCACCCATTTTCTGTGAACATTAACACACGGATGTAATGAGAAAACCTGTGCATTCCTGTTACCTGGCCCCACTGATAACCCTTTCAATAAAAGCCTTTGAACAAAGGGACTCGGGGCCTTCCCCACTTGAGGAGTGTGTCACATCCCCTCTCCTGGCAAACAGAGAAGTGTTTGCAACGACTCATGTTTATTCCCCCATCCGTGACGCTCTTGGGACGGGCTCTGCGGGATTCAGAGTCCCTGCTCCCATCTGGGCTGGTCTGGACAGTAACCCTCAGATCCCGGAGGGCCGTGCTCCCTGCGACGTGCTCCATCCCCCCGCGGCTGTTGTTGCTCAGAGGAGGACAAGCAGGGACCCATGGCGCTCCCTGACGTGCCACATGTGGCATCATCCAGCTAGATATCTCTATGGATGTGCATATATGTGTTTCTATACACACATAACACATGTATGTGTGTTTATATACACATGTATATATGTAAGCATATAGGCATGTACAGACACATATCTGCATATATACACATATGTATGTATATATGCTTATTACACACAAAAATTTCTTCTTCTATATCTATATAGCAATATTTAGAAATGAATTTGGATGGATACACTCAAAACTGCTACAAGAGTGGAGGGAAGGACCAGCGAGGAATGAGGATTTCTTATAACTATGTGTTGTTTATGTCCCATTTAAATAAAAGTGAGATGCATGCCTGAATTGCATCTGACAATTAGAACAACCACTTTCAAAGACAAAAAACAGGGATCACAGGGTGCGGAGGGTGGGCTCCGGAGGCGGCGGCGGGTGCAGCACTGGGTCGGGTGCTGGCTTGACAAGACCAAACCCGCAGGAGAATGGACAGTGGAGTACAGAGAGACGGAAGGGTCTTGGGTTTGATTGACGATGCTTGGCGAGAAGATGAGCTGCCCTCCGAGGACGTTGCAATACCACTGAAGGAGCGTCCGGAGCCTGAGCGGGACCGCGGTGGCGCTGCAGAACCCGGTAAAGAAGAAGAGACGAAGTGGACCGCCTTGGCCTTACTGTACCTGCACAAGAACGTTCCCCCTGAAAGGAAACTGACACCTGCCTTCTTTTTCATGGATAGATTTAAAAAAAAAAAAATACATAGATGCAAAATGTTTTCTTTCAGTCCCCTAATTCAAATCTTTTAGTGATAAATCAACACTCAAAAATGTATACCCACTTTGTTTATGACAACAAAGCACAATGTGCGAATACTCACCAGAATGAGAAACAGATTTCCCAGGAATGCAGAATATTTGGCTCTTTGAACCTAAAGTTCCTCATTCCCTAGCTTGTGTTTAAACATGTTCGGTTAAATATTTGCCTTTAACTCTAATTTTGCTTTATTGTCAGAGTTTAACATTTCCCAACTTCTTATGTGTGTCCTGTGGCAGGTGACTGAAGACATGAGAGGGAAGGCCTGGGAAGGGGAAGCCGACATAAGGCGGACCACTAAGCTCCCCTGCGCCCCCCTGAGGGGGTGTAGGGAGCCTGGAAATGTAATCGACATTTAGAAGCACATTCACTGACCACTGGGGTTCCTGAGATGCTCCATGATGCTTTCAAACCTGGATACATTTACAAATTAAAGAGTATCTGACAGTTCCCTCTACTCTCTCTGCCACGTCTTTTGATGCTTCTAGAAAGGTTCCTTGGCTAGGTGGATTACTAGTTTTATCCAGTAATGGGATTTGTCTTCTCAAAGCCCTCTGAGACATAACTGTAAAACCATGGTCAAAAAAACAAAAAACAACCCCCTCCCAACATCAGTATTTACTTATACACATTTGTATGAGAACTAATATTTTTAAAACGTATTTATCTCCTGGAATTATTTACCTTAGTTAAGTGGTATCTGTCTTGTTCTCTATCTAGATTAAAAACTCCATGGGAGGAGGTCCTGGTTTATACTTCTGGGTCCATCACTGAAAAACTGAAAATACTGAATAACTGAAATCTCTCTTTTCAAAACAAAAACAACAACAAAAAAAGACAAAATACAAAGTTTTATTTATTTTTTAATGTTTCATTTTTTGACACTAAAACTGCCCCCCTGGAATCTATACCAAGTGGCTCTCTTCACGCTTTCAGACCCCATGGTGACTGTCTGGCCCCTGGACCAGCCCTTCAGACATTTGGGGCCCAGACACAGGCACACCCCATTCCCAAGCCTCCTGCTCTCCTGCACCGTCAAACACGTCACACACAGTCCCTTCCTTCACCGTCCTGGATGCTCACTGTGGAGGCCCAGCCTCGACTCAGCAAATGGAGAGTTCATTAAGAGGCAGGCCCTGGGCTAGGTATCGATACACAGAAGTGAATTCATTCTGAGGGGAATTTAAACCCATGAACAGCCATATTCAAGTGTAAGGCATGTATAGGATGGGGCCACACAAGGGAGCCACCGAGCCTGCCTGAGGCTGAGAAACACTGGTGGGAAGGAGTCTCTCCAAGGAGGTAATCCTTGGGCTGGCCTGGTAAGGTGAGCAGGTGTTTGGGCAATTTGGGAAGAAAATAACGTTTGCCAAGGTTGAAAGGCATGAAAGACCATGGCACATTCAGCATGTGGCAAGGAGTTCAAGGTAGGCAGAGAGCAGGGTGCATGTGAGAGCTTAGTAGAAGCACCATTCTGGGGAGAATGCAAGAGACAATGTATGAAGGGTCTCATCGATTGCGGCTCATTCTGTAGGCCATGGCGGGCCACAGGAGGGTTTGGCCAAGGACAGATGTGACTATGGTGGAATGTGGGAACATCAGGTTGGTGTAAGGCAATAGATTTCAACCAGGGGCTATCTTGCCTCCCTCCTGGGGAAAATTTGGCAATGTCTGGAGATGTTTTTGGTTGTCCCTACTGGGTGAATGCAAGTGGCATCTACTAAGGACAGAACAGAGATGCTGCTAAACATCCTCCAGTGTAGAGGACAACTTCACAACAAAGAATTGTCTGGGCTGAGATGTCAATAGAGCTGAGGCTGAGAAACACTGGTCCGGAGAAGATGGATGGTTCTGGCAGGGGAGAGGCGAGGAGGGGGAGGAGGAATAATGGGGACAGGAAGACCTAATAAAAAATTCCAGCTCAGATGGGCGATGATGAAAACCTGAGCTAAGATGGGGCTCTGACAATGGAGAGACGGGACTGAATCAAGAGGTAATATGAGGAGTGAAATTGGTAAAACATGGTGATGAATTGACTATGGTGGAGTGTGGGATAATACAGTGGGGCTGTTACCATTTGGGTTAAATCACCATCACAAGGTGAGCCAAAACTAGCAAGAGCTTAAGCAAGGTGGATATTTGTTTCTCACCTATGGCTGGGATGGTAGCTTGATGGTATGAGGGGCTGACATTCCATTTTTCTGCTCTAACGTTCTAAACCCACGATTGCCATCTCACGTCCAAAATGGCTGCTCCTGCCCTGACCAGTGTGGCTCAGTGAGGTGAGCATTGTCCTGTAAAGCAAAAGGTTGTCAATGCAATTCTTAGTCAGAGCACATGCCTGGGTTGAGGGTTTGGTCCCTGGTTGGGGCGTGTATGAAGGGCGGCTGGTTGATGTTTCTCTCTCACATCAATGTTTCTCTCCTTTCCTTAACTCTCTGTAAAAATAAATAAATAAAATCTTTAAAATTAAAAAAAAAGGCTACTCCAGCTTCTCCTTTCATATTCATATGCCTGCCAAAGGAAAAGAAGGAGAGAGGAAGGAAAGGGCTCAGTTTTTCCACTTCAAGACATGACCTAGAAACTATCACATCCCTTCTGCTCACATTGCATTGACAAGAACTTAATCATGTGGCTGTCCTTACCTGCAAAGGCAATGTAGTCTTGAGCTGAGGTCCACGTGCAAAATTAAAACTTTTATAATTATGTGAGGAGGGCAATTAGGAGTCCACGCCACAGGTAATGAAAGAGAAAAATTCATGAAGGGAAGTGGCCAGTGTTTTGGCATGGGTGACCGAGTGGATGGTGGATACCATGAAGAGCACAGGAGAGAAGAGGAGGGGGCAAGGTGGCGGGCTCATCTTGAACAGGCCGTGGGTAAGTCCTGAGAAACCACGATGTAGACTTCAAACTGAGTCTGAAATCAGATCTGAGCACGGGGGAAGGTTCTGGGTGGCAATCAGGGTCTAAGAAGCCATAGATGAAAAGAGCTTGTCCAGAAATGGGACTAAAACTGGAGTCGACAAACTGCTGCTTTTAAAGCAGGCTCTCTGCACCTAAAAGACTGAGAGGGAGATCAGCCTACAAATTTCCCAAAATTGCAGTCAAAGTAGTAGAAATGTGCTGTGCATGTGTCCTTTTCTGGGGAGACAAATTATGACTGTCATCAGGTTCTCAAGGGGTCTGCATGTACAGAAAGGTAGGAAGAGGGTTCAAAAGGCAGGCTGGGGCCCCCGATATTACATGGGCAGGCAGAGGAAGAGAGCCATCTCAAGGGACCAAGCAAGAGCAGTGCGGGAGCATATAGAAGCAGCAGGACAGGCTGTTTGTAGCACGGGGAGCACAGAGCTTTAAGAAGAATGTGCTGGCCTGTGGACAAAGCCCACGGTCAGGGATGTGAGGGGTGGTGGGGGCTGGGGGGAGTAGAAGGAGCAGGTGCAGGAGGAATCCTGTAGCAGACATGGGGCTTTGGGGATGACAGAGGACTACATATGTCTATAAATTGAGTGGAAATGTCCAGTGGAGAGGGAGGGATTGAGATGAGCAGAGAGAGAGCAAATGCTATTTTCTTCCTGAAGCAGGTTCCTGACGCCCACCTCAGCACTGCGGTGTGGTCCCAGCAGCAGGAGCAAAACTAAGGGCTCGGGCTTCCGGGGTGGTTTCCAAATCCCAGATCTGCCTGTCACTGGCTGGGATGTCAAAAAAATTAGTCCACCTGCCTGAACCTCTTTGTCCCCACGTGTAAACCTAGATAACAACACGCCTTGTGCGAATGATGAAAGGCTTGGGAGAAGGTCCTGTGTGACAGGCCCATCTCAGGTCCCGAAGACAGTAGATACGCTGTGAGCGGGTGTGCCCCTCTCCCCTCCTCACCCCTTCCTTCTTACGGGGTGCTTTCTTGCAGGAAAAGGGTAGTCTTTGAGGACATGACTTTATAATCTTTCTAATTGTCCCAGAGGGGCAGAATTTGGTCTATTTAAAATATGGCACACCATCCTCACATGGGAAGAATAAAGACAGAAACACTAAAAACATATAAAAGAATAATAGTGGGACACACAAGCAGACAGTCACCTTCTTAAAATCCGCAGTGACAGCTCCCAGACTCATGTCCACCCATACCTGGTTATTAGTGGTGTTCCTCCTGAGACGAGTGTTATGAGATTTGCTCTCTGTCCCCAGCATTCTGTTCCTGATGACGATGTGTTTGGAGTCATGAGTGTTCCAAGGAGGCTGTTTGGTCGGAGGTTGTCAAGCCTGGGAGCAGTGGGTGGAGGAGAGAGGATTTCACGCTTGAAAAAGCAATCCTCAAACAAACAACCCAATTAAAACAGAGGCAGAAGACTTGAGTAGACGTTTGTCCAAGGAAGGTATACAAATGGCCAATAAACACACGAAAAATGCCTAACATCACTAGTCATCAGAGAAATGTGAATGAAAACCACCATAAGATACTACTTCATACGCATTAAGATGGCTACTACCCCAAAAGGAGAAAATTATAAGGATTGAAAAGATGGGGGGAAATTGGAGCCCCTTGTGCATTGCTGATGAAAGTGTAAAATGGCACAGCTGCTGTGAAAAACAGCATGATGGATCTTCAAAAAACATTGGATGTAGAATTACCATATGATCCAGCAATTCTACTTCTATATATACTCAGAAGAATTGGAAGGAAGGTCTGAAAGAGATATTTGCACATCTATGTTCATAACAACGTTATGCACAATCAAAAGCCACCCACGTTTCTATTGACGGATGGATAAACAAAATGTGATACGTATATACAATGAAATATTACCAAGCCTTAAAAAGAAAGGAAGTTCTGGCGCATGCTACAACATGGATGGACCTTGAGGACAATATGAGAAATGTAATAAGTCAGTCACAAAAGGACATTTACTGTATGGCTCCACTTATATGAGGTACCTAAAGTATTCCAATTCATAGACAGAAAACAGAACGGGGGTTGCTGGAGGCTCTGGGAGGGGGAATGGGCAGTTAATGCTTTACATTTGGGATGATGAAAACATTCTGGAGATGGATCAGGATGATGGTTACACAACAATATAAATGTATTTAATGCCACTAAACTGTACATTTAAAAACAGTTAAAATGGTAAATTTTATGTTATGTATATTTTACCACGTGAAAAATCAACACTTGCATCAAGTTATACTGGAGAATTGAGGGCCATTCGGTAACTAGTGAAATGTTTTTCTATGAAATTAGAAGTTAGGCCTTTCTGAAAACATTATCAAAAATGCAGAGCACGGAAACCCAACCTGAGTGAGCCTGTCCCCAGTTCACCTGGCTGTGCACAGGCCATTGAACCCACCCCTCTGCGCCGGGCTGAACTCAGCTCCCCTCGGTCAGCAGGTGTGTCTAAGCTTTTAAAGAACGCTGGCCTGCCGGCGTGACAGGAATATGAGCCATTTTCTCTCCTCTATAATTTTGTCTTTTATATATTTTCCGCATTTTCTGCAACTGACTTGATGATTTTATAATGAAGAAGACATTCCTTCAATTCTCTGTATTTTAAAGACCTCATCCTCCACTCTGGCCCCTGTAAGCAATAGTGCAATGTTTCCCAAGAGGGGCCTCCACCCCCCAGGATAAGTGCCCCCAGTGTAATCTCTTCTCGGGTGAGTCATGCTGGTAGGATGAGGTGGATGGGTCCACAGTCCACGTGAACAAATGTCCCACAAACCCTGTGGCCATCAGCTGGACTCCAGGCGGGCACTCTGCTAGGGGTCTGCACAGAGAAGTTGGGGTGATCTTCAGTCTTTACAGTTTTTTTTTTTTTTAAGATTTTACTTATTTTTAGAGAGAAGGGAAGGGAGGGAGAAGAGAGGGAGAGAACCATCATACATCAATGAGTTGCCTCTCACACACCCCCAACTGGGGATCTGGTCTGCAATCCAGGCATGTGCCCTGACTGGGAATAGAACCAGCGACTTTTTGGTTTGCAGGCCAACTGGCACCCCATCCATTGAGCCACACCAGCCAGGGTTTTTGGTTTGTTTGTTTGTTTGTTTGTTTTCAGTGTGGCTGTGGAAAGTTCAGTCCCAGGGGCCTGAGATACAGAGACAAAGAACTTAAAGCACCCTAAACTAAAACCAGTTTTGACCTCGTGCAAGCAATGTGTCCTAAAGGGACAGAGGAGGGAAAGGCTTGTCCACGCAGGAGAGATCACAGAAAGCGTGGTGGGATGGGTGCAGGGCATTGGAAAAAGGATAGGATTCTGAAAGTGTTGAAAGGGGCCGGTGGGGTGGTCCAGGCCAGGGCTATGGGGCGGGCAAAGGCTCAAAGGCCAGAAAGGGCGCTGTGCTAGGGGGAGTGAGCTTCCTTCCACAGGGAGCTGGATTATGAAGCCTCTGTCTGCCAGGCTTACGAACTTGGGCTTTTTTCCACAGGTGACGGGGAACCAGGAAGGATGGTGGTCATTATGTTTTTCGTTTATTTTATCAACAGACCAGTCCAACTGGATCTAATGGCCTCAGAATCTGCCTTGTCCTTCCACCATCCTGGAGGACAGTCTGAGACTAAGCCAGGTAAGCTGGCCAAATGACTATTTAAACATTGTTTTTCAAAGAGCCCATCCGTCTCTTTTCCTCAAAGGGATTTAGTGAATTTGAAAATAGACAGTTAGCAACTGGGGGTGGGTTGGGGGACAGGGCTAGTTTCAGGAAGAGGAAGGGAAAAGTTCTTTTTGGCCTAAAGCAATTTATTCGAGTTACATTTAATTGTACATTTTAATATGAGACTTACAAATTTTATGCCACAATAAAACAGAGCAACCTTTGAAATGATTAAACTAGCAACTTCGTAGTCCTTATGGCCAGAGCAGCTTCCAACGCGTCACTGCACCTAATTAAAGGTCAGAGATGGATGCAGTAAGAGCTGCTGTGTTTTTCTTAATTATTACATGAATGAACAGGTCTGTTTTGAACGGCCTACATGACTGAAGTTTGCATAGAATTCTACACAAGGACACGTGGACTCAGTTCAGGAAGCCCCATTCTTCCCCTGCTCCCCCTTTGGGAAACCAGTCTTGCACATCAATCCTTCTGCAATTCTTTTCAGTGTATAACCCCCCCAAAATAGGTAAATGCTGTTACCTAGGTAAACAGGTTCAAGAACACATGGAAGGCTAGTAATCCAGAAAATGGACTTTAGCCAGTCACTTGCTCATATGAATATCAGTTTTTTCATCTATAGTTTGGGAACATTACATGAGATAATCACTTATGACAGCTCATTTTTCTATAAAAAAAATGTAACTTTTTACCTTGTCTCACTTGATAAAAGAGAAGAAAGGAAGGCAGGAACAGAGGAATGGAGGGAGGGAAAGAGGCAGGCACACATTGCTCATGGTCCATATTTGCATCCACCTTGACTGATTTCAGACCCTCTTGACTTGCACTGTGCATCACACACATCAGCGCTCGGACCAAATAGCTGTTCAATAAATGTGAAATCAGACCCCCTTTCTGGCCTTCTCCCACTGTGCAAGCACATTAAATGAACCAAGATGGTAGCCCCTGTTGATCTGGAATTAGAGAAGGTAAAAGAGGGTCTTGAGCATGCAGATACTTCTCTCAGGAAGCTTAGGGGACCGTGCACAAGAATTTCAGGTGAGGCCATAATTTTGCAGAAGAAGAGAGACTCCAGGGGCCTGGGGAATGGTTTCACGAGTCCTAGGTGGGCCTGGTCTCCTTAGGCTGGGTGGGGGTTAGTAGCTCTTCCAGGATAGGAGCCGGTCGGGCCGGGTCCAGTTTAGTGTGCAGCGATTGCTGGCCTGTCTCCTCTTTCTGACCTCCAGAGCCATTTTTGTTGTGCTTGGAGCCGTCAGGGACTTAGTTCCCTAGTCAGTCCTGAAGAGTGCGTTTCCAATTGGAGCCCCTTCAGGAGGCTGCCTGAGCTCAAGCGTCTGTAATTCTGCCTCCTCACTTGCTTTGAACAACTCCAAGGCCAGACTGTGTTTTGGGGCTATTTATTTGAGTTCATACCTTGAAAGGTCACAGTAGCTACAGTTCAGAAAGCCAGGCATTCTCACCGCAATGTTTGTTTCTGGCCTTTGGCCCCCACATCCTTTTTTGGACTTGTCAACAACAACAACAACAACAACAACAAGTCCATTAAAGTTTTCCAAATGAAATGTATCAGAAGGAATTGGGCTTTTCCATTTGTTCAAACAATTGCTTATATATCTGTTACTACTCAGGAACATTTTTACCTCTAAGAGTGGTCAAGATTCTCACACCACTACCAACCCCAAACTATATGCTTTTGGGGAGGGGTAAGAGAAAGGCAGGGATTGAAAAAGACCCAAAACCTCATGTAGTTTAAATCTATACTTTTCTAGAAAAGGAAACTGAATTCCAGAAAGGTCTCAGTCAGAAGTTGGAACTAGAATCCAGTATTCTCTTTTTTGACTTTTAGTTTATGTTCTTCAGATGAGCAACAAATTACTTCTTAAGACAGTTACTTCTGGCCAACCTTTGCATAAGAAATGAAACAAATGAAATAGTTGTTGCTCCTCAAAACAGAAGCTGTCTGTTATTGCTCTCAGGGGGAACAGCGCTAAATGATAGTAATGAGCCCACATTCCACTGTGAGAGCCATCACCTGAGTCCTGGAGTGACAGACTCCTCTCTGGCATTGCCCATTTCCCTACTGGCAAATTAAGGGAAATGACTCAGCGTTGCTTCTGACAACAGCAGACTCTGAAGACAGGAATGCATGATGGTGCTTGTTACAACTCGGGATGTAGCATGAAGGTGGCAATGAACAAGTGGTTAACAGTATGGATGGAGATCCAGATGGCAAGTAACAATGAAGAGAAAGCTGGCTTCAAAGCCAAGTAAGGATGACCCCTGGACACTCCCCCTGCTCCGACCCACACACTCCATCCCTTCTGCAAGGAGTTTCCTCACATTAGGACAGAGCTGTGGCGCTTAGAACTGGTAACTCTAGGTAGGTCAGCTTCCTGGTCGTGTCAGAGCGAGACAGCTGACCCTCTCTTAGATGAATGGCTTTTCATCTAAGCCGTTCATGGCTTTTCAGTTACTTTTTGAGTCTCTTCTAGATAAGATTAAAGATTCTCTTCTGGCAGTCCCCAAACCCATGTGACTGCATCCGTGCCAGTCAATGTCAGCCCACAATAGGAACCTGGAGAACAAAGAAATCCACTCTGTGCCTGCACCAATCAAATCTGGAGAATAGAGAAATCTACTCTACACCTGCGTGAAGAAACTCAGTACTAGGCCTGGCTGATGTGGCTCAGTGGATTGAGTACCAGACTGCAAACCTAGAGGTCATGGGTTCTGTTCCTGGCCAGGGTACATGCCTGGATTGTGGGCCAAGACTCAATCACGTTGATGTTTCTCTCCCTCTCTTTCTCCCTCCCTTACCCTCTTTCTAAAAGTAAATAAACAAAATCTAAAAAAGAAAGACACCCAGCAGTAGATAAGCCAGACCCTGGCAGCAGTTCAGGGAGCCTCTACATCAACCTCTCTCCCTTTTTCCTGTCCATCTGCCTTGTTTTCAGTAAACCTCTCTCTGCACCTGTTTCTCTTCCTCTCTCGATTTCTGTCCTGGTAGTGGGGAGCAAGAACCTCTTTGCCAGTGACAAAATTGTGTATCCATCCATCCACCACCATCTGTTTGTGTATTTATCCTTATCACTCCTTGTTCCAGAAAGGATTTGAGGTAGCTCAAATAAACTATAACAAAATAACATGAAAGTAGGAAATAAAGAAGGAAGAAAATTTTAAAATGGAAGAGTAAAAGAGATTTAGGAGTGAAACTAAAAGGAAACACCTCAAAATTCATTTCGTGATAACTCATTCGGCTGCACACATGTGATTTATGTTCTTTCCTTTATGGATATATGGACGATAATTTAAAAAATCTATTGTTTCAAAGGGGTACACAAAGCTGGCATGCAATATTGCTCTACTCTTCTCCCAGCTCCCCACTGAAAGGCACAAATGAGTCTGGAAGTCCTGCGACCTTAGGGCCAGATGCCACAGGCCACAGATGGTGGAGTGGAACAAGGGACAGACTAGAGCTATGGATCATATTTGGAGTCGCTGCACTGCCTGCCCTTGGATGGGCTGCCTTGCACTCACTGGCATGTGACTTGAGGCACCTCTCACTTGGCTGGGCCAGTGTAGTCAGTGATTCTGTTACAGGCATCACCTGCAATTCTGACGCCGAAGGCAACCGAAGCCAAAGCCCTTTAGAAACTTTCTAGGCAGCGGCGGCGGCGACATGGTCTTGAGGGTGAGGGGGGTCTCTCAGCATTTAATGGCTAAGGAGACTGAGGCCGAGTCCACAGGGGAAACCAAGGTGCGACAACCACAGAGGTAGGAAGAGGGAGGGGAACCTTGCCGAAGTGGGCCTTATATTGGCCTTGAAACTTTCTAGTGGGCCATGAGGAAAAGGAAACCAAGTCTGCTTCTACTGCCAGATGTGAAGGCTAGTGACTGAGAAGGAGGGTAATAACCCTGGGACACAGACCAGATGAGCATTTCTTCCACGGGTCTTTCTACGGTAGATACTTTGTCACTTAGTCCAAACATCCTTGACATCGGGCATCCTAAGAACAGTCGGAGCCATGAGCTCTGAGGGCTTGTTTCTTACCACATCCCTCTGTGTGAGGCTATCGGCAGAGTGGGTGAGCACCATCTCTCTTTGCAGCAACTCTCCCTAAGTACTGTTCCTCTTACTTAAGCTTTTAATCAACATCAGTGACTGTGAGGCCAACCCTGCTCTCTCAGCCAAGTCTCTTCAGAAAATACAGAGCCAGCCACGCTCAAGTTGAGCTCTTATGAAATCAAGTTGCCTAAAAAGAGAGAGTCTGTTAATGCTCAACAAGAGAACCTCCTGATAATCTGAGCAAAGCAGGAGTTCCTTAGGGAGAAAGGAAGATACAGAAATTGGTTTTCAACTGGGTATTTAAGTGACATCCTATAACTCAGTCTATAAACCAAGCCCAAAGGGCTGGGCTCTGTTTAAGAGGCTAGCAATGCAGGCCTGTCAGGAGGGTGACATGCCTGCGAAGCTGTGTCACTCATGATGGGGATCGGTCCCTGTGAATCAGCCCTACTTCTACTGAAGGCACTTTCTCGATGAGAGGCCCTGGGAGAGGCAGCCCCAGCTGGCTCCCTCATCCAGTCACTGAGCTGCCCAGACCACTCTGGTCTCCCTGCTGCCTCAGCCTTGGTGGCAACTCGCGGCTGTGGGGGCCAGGAGTCCCAGGAAGGTGGAAAAGATTCTTGAGTTCACAGGATATCTATGGCATTGAAAGGAACCTTCTCACTTGACACATGAGGGAACTAAATCCAGAGAAGAGGAAAACTTGCTCAAGGTCATGAATTGGGTGGGACAGCCAAGTCAGGAGTTCACATTCTCTCTCTTTTGCTCTCTCTTCTTCCTCTTTCCCTTCCTCCCTCCATCCCTCCCTCCCTCCTCCCTCCATCTCCCTTCCCCGCTCTCCCTCTCTCATCAAGAAGCATCTAAACACAACATGTCTGACCCTCGGTACAATAGTACCTGTTGGCTTGACGTGCCTCCTAGATGCTCCCAGGGAGAGACCAGCTCTGGGAAGAACATCCCCCACTGGACCATGGGTGCCCAGTGGACCTTCCAGATATAGTAATTCTTCACACAAAACTCTGCAAGTCACAGAGTGCTTTCTCACCCATGTCTCACCATGATTATCCCAAGAATGCTTGTTTGCAGCCATCCGTGGGGGTTAGAGCAGGACCGCAATAGCCCAGGGACCTCTTACTGTTGCACTAGGAAACATGAGATTCCATGCTTGGTGCCAGAGGCTGGGCTTTCTCTTTGTGGGCAGGTCCTGGGCAGCAGGTAGCTGCTGTGGAACACACAGGCACTGTTCCCAGTTAGGCAGGAGCCTTGGGCCCAGCCAGAGAGTGGACTGAACCAGGGACTTGGGGAGGACCTCGCCATGGTTCCCTCCAACCAGGAGTCATGAGAACAACCAGCCAAAATATGTTTCTGCAAAGCGTGGTGCAGGCAGTAGGAAGACACGTGGAGACGAGAACACCAGGCCAGGCACGTACACTGATCTTCCACTGGATCTGGGAAAGGATTGTTTCTATAGCCACTTAAGTGTTAGAAGGGAGATAAGCAGGGTCAGCCGCTCAAGTGTAGCCTGGGGTTAGGGAGAGGGACGGGTGACAGGGGTTTGTCTCTGAAAAGGCAGAGGTTGACGGACAGGGGAGGGAAAGCGAACCCACCTAGACCCTGGAGGAGTTCAGGTCAGCCTGTGACCCAGCTCCCTTCCCACCCTCCCGCCTCGTTATTTTCTACCATACTCTCTGGGTTCTCGTAGCATCAGAGAGGAAAGGACCTGCCAGTTCAGACCCCCATTTAACAGATGAGGATACAAAGACCCTGTGAGAGGAAAGCATTCACTTGAAGTTACCCAGCTGGGCCGTAGTGGGTAGGGATTCTGGGCCTCCAGAGGAAGGGGCACAGGGAGGTGGGAGAAAACCAGACACACACTCTGGCCAGGGGCCAGCCCTGGAGAGAGTGGATATGAACCTCCGATGCAGCTTTTCCAAAGCAATCTGGGAATATGAAAAACCCCGGCGGCCTCTGCGGGCCAGTGAGAGGCCCCCTCCCTGGAAACACTGAGCTGCACAAGGCCTGCTGTGGGGACGGCTGGTTTCAGGTGTGTGTTTGAAGACGGAGGGACAGCGAGCACCCACGCCTGCACAGCCTCTGCGCAGGGCAGCGCACCAGGCCATAGCCAGCATCTCTATGGGCCAGTGCCTGGGCAGAGGCTTACCCCCGCCTCCATCCAGCTGAACCCAGGGCAGGCCTGATCCATTGCAGACCGTGTGAGGGAGAAGTGATCTTAAAGAATATTGAAAAGACTCACACCTGTCGCCTTCAGACATGGGAATTCCTTCCCTCTTGGGGTTACGGGCTGCAGCCTGAACTCCAGAGACAGCTCATAGCCCCACATGGCTGAGAACCCCAACCCTGGATGGCGCTTACCGAGTTCTTCCTTGGACTCAGCCAAAATCTCCTCCCCGGCTTACCCTGTGTTTTCTATCTATCGGTCTTCATTCTACACCTCAAAAACCACATGAAACAAATTCCTTCCTTTTCCCCCCATCAACCCTGGTTAAACGCAGGGACCGCCACCCCCAAGTCCTGCCTGTTCCTGGCTGAGCACCCCTGACTCCCAACCAGTTTCCATGTGACTTGGTTCTAGCCCTTCATCCTGCTCCCCTCCCGCCCTCCTGCCTCGTTATTTTCTACCACACTCTCTCCACTGGATTAATTGGGGCTCCCCAGGATTGAACACAACATTCAAGTTGAAAGCCAATGTCTCAGATCAGCCTCCCTCTGGAGACCTAAGAATGCATTTTATCCACACTCCCCTTCCCTTCCTGTTGTCTAGGTTTGGATTCCTGGATCCAAGTTTCAGATGAGAAGAACACATTTGCTCAGAGAGAGCAAAATTAAATATGGGTGGCAGATCCTGATTTTCCAAAAATCTTCATAAGAAAGATCATTTAAGGGCAATGGGATCAAAGGTGAAATTCCCCAATAATGCAGCACGTGTTGAAGCTAATTGCCATCAGATCTGATTCTCAGAGCCTGCCTATGTAGTTTATATTCACTCAAGTGAGCACTATCTCTGAGCATCTGCTGTGCCCTGCAACTCCATGGTAGAAAGCCTACTTAATATATAGCTTTAACTCCAAGGAGCCCAGTTAAGGAGACCAGTACCTATAGATTTACAGTACAATGTGTTAGATGTGTAACTGAGGCATGCAAATGGGACCGGTTAGTTTCCTATTGCTGCTGTAACAAATTACCA